CAGGATATTACATCCAGCGTCACATCCAGAGAAAATATAATGTCGCAATCAACAGAAGAATTGCATAAAGAACCGCCCAATGAAATTGAGGTATATACACAAACTGAGCCATTACCAGATGATTTTGTCTGTGAAGAGATGGTTGAGGAACCAACCGATAAAGTAATTATACCTACTCAAGCCACAGACGCGATTACTGTAGAAAGAAGATTAATTACACCAACGAGGTATACCTTTGAAGAAACTGTCACACACGGATCTTTGCTAGTAGAACCTCTCAATGGTGCTAAGATTCTACCGGATTCAGATATAACTGAAAGACCTAAAGAAAGGATTGTACCAATCCGAGTTGAAGATGATTTTGATGAAACGTCGTCAATTCCTGAGGATTTTCATAAGTTAGCAGATCCGAAACAAACAAGGCAAAGTTCATCTGTGCCTCCTGGAGAAATAGAAGTGCTTAAAGCCCAAAAGCTTCAAGTGACTGATCTAGATGTAGATACCCTCACTGTCAATAAGCTTTTAGCTGGAAAGATAGTAGTTTCTGAAATTGACAGCGGTAATATACAAACTAACGAAATTTCTTCAAAAACGGGAGCGTTAAAAGTTGGCGAAATCAGCTTACCACCAGAAATGATACAACAAATTATACAAACGATTCAAAGTAGTCAAGCTTCAGAAGAAAAACCACAAGTAGACCAAGATGGACAAAAAAAAACTCCGTTTGATTTTTGCCCCGACGTAGAAATATCCTCTTCCCATTTATCTGTACCAGAATGTCTCAAGGAAGAAAAAGCAACTGATACAGCTTCAACAGCAACTGTTGTGCCTACAGCAACGGTGCCTACTGTGGAAACTATAGAAGCAGTGCCTGCTATAATTTCAGATGAAACTGTTTCGGCTGTACAAACTGAAGAAATAGTTTTAATTGAATCTGTTCCTACTGTAGAAACTGAAAAAATACAGGATGACGTAGCCTCAGAAGTACCTGCTGAATTTGCAGAATTGAAATCTGATATAACAGAAACTTTATTGAACGATATTATCCCAAGTGAATCTGAACCTAATGTGCCAGAAGTATTACCCGAAAATAGCAATGTTTCGGTTGGACTACTTCCTAAAGAAGAAACTATACCTTCAGAAGAGTCGATCCTTTCTCTTGGTATAATTTCTAAAGAAGACATTTCTGTTCCTTTAGAAGAAGAAAAAGATAGCCCTCCCGCAGTTCCCCCTAGAGCAGTTTCCCAAGATGCAAAACCTAGTACGCCAGACGAATCCCTTCAACAGCTAGAAGCAGTCCCTCACAGACCTCCCCGACAGTCTGAGAGACTCAAACTTTCTCAGTCTACCAATGAAGAATCCGTACAAGAGCCTGAGGTAGACGACGAACCACCACCTAGACCTCCCCAGCCTCCAATGGGATATATACCTTCACAGCCACCCACAAGCTTTTATGCTCTGAGGGCACAAAAGTATGTAGATGATAACATTCCCACTGTACCTAGAAGGAGAAGACATGCTAAATCGAAACAGTTGGCGAGGTCTAGCTCCGAAGAATCCTCAGAGGTGTCGCATGTAGTTCGAAGACACCCTCGAAGGTCTAGTGATCCTTCGATAGCTCAACTCTCTGGACAACTGGCGAGAGCCTGCAGTTCAGAAGCTAACAATCAACTTAAAAGACTGATAAATTACATTTTAAACAACGTGTTACATAATGAAGACGGGAAACAAGACTTAAACGTTATGATCATTATAATTTTAGTACTAATTGCAGGGCTGTTGTTGTTGGGATACGGAGATGAAAGGACTGTCGTACACTTGCATCATTGGGAATACTTTAATCCCCCTAAAAATTTGTAACCCGTTGCGATTTATTTATAATGTTCGAATAGTTGTTACGTTTGATTGTTTTTGTAATTTTTAAGTATGGTTCATGTACATAACATTTAATTGATTTGTAAGACCTCAATAAAACCTTGATTTTAAATTTTATTAGTTTTTACTTATTCTACAAATATTTATCAATTAAAAGGTACATAAAATAGCTGGAATCAAACATAGTAAGAATACGAATTCTACAACTTTTAATCTACTAAATATATGTCCGAATTTAACCTTACGTCCCTAAAAATATTGGTTCAGAAATTATTCTGTTTCTCGGAAATATTTAACTAGTTAAAAATTTGAAGTTACGTTGAAAGTTTTGAGAAGGACTCTGCAAAAGGGAAATATAAAAATTAGCAAACTAAGAAACATATCTGGAAAAGAATCTACGAACAGGGATGAAATATTAACAGTAGAGAAGAATTCTACACAGAGCTATATAGATAAAGAGAAAAAGATAACTATACGCAACCTGCAATATAAAAACTAGGTACTAAACCAAGGATCTAATTTAATGCCCGATATATAACAAAATATCGACCCTTCTGGCAGACGTGGTGTTTTAAATGCCAATATACCCTTTAAAACCGCGATGCCAGATTTTAAAACAAATACAAATTTACCCCAAGTGAGTAGGATGCGTCCAAAATCTCACTCTAATTTATCAGTCTGTCCCAAGGATTCTGTGGGGGACAGAAAGCTGATTATACGGAAACCCCATAACTCTTTACATTAGTACATGCCAGAAGTCTTCTGTCCGAGGAGAGATTAGAAAGGTGATTACTGTCCATGTTAGAAAGGTGAAACTTTAAAAACACAAATAAGGGCATATATTTTATCAGACTGGCCCTGAAACTACATCAGTTGGAGGCATCGGTTTGTTTGTCCATAAAAACCACGGGAACAACGTAGAGACGAGTTAATGCAGGTCGTCGAAGAGTTCTACGAGGAATTTTATGGAAGTAGACGAGAAGATCAAACAGGAATACAAACAGCCATTTCAAAGAAGATCATGAAACAAGGTTCCTAACTAATGCCAGAAATAAATGTAGATGAGATTCGACAAGCGTTAAGAAAAATGAAAAATAATAAATCCTCAAAGAATGTAACAATGCTATAACCATCCTTTTACATAAAAAAGGAGATAGAACGGACCTAGAGAATTATAGACCTATTAGCCTTCTGAACCACATATACAAGCTCGTCACTAGGTTAGTGACATCAAGATTGGAGAGAAATAGATTTCTACCAACCAATAAAGCAGGCAGGATTCCGATCAAATTATGGTACCAATGATCACCTCCATACAGTAAAGACGCTCATGGAAAAATCTATAGAATATAACAAACCTCTTGTCCTCACTTTCATAAAGCGTTCGACACGATCGAAATAGACAGCCTTATAGAAGCAATGAATGACAGCAGGATTGACCATAGCGATAGTGAACTTATTTACAATAAAACGTGGGATAAGGCAAGGAGATACATTGGCACCGAAATTATTCATAACGGCATTAGAGAGTATGCCTTTACGATGATCAATTGGGACCACAGAGGAGTAACAATAGACGGCGAGAAACTTAACCATCTCCGTTTCGCAGATGACATTGTCCTTATCATAGATGATTTAGGAGAACTCACAGATATGTTAAATGAATTGGACTTTGCATGTCCGAAAGTGAGCCTCAGAATGAACTTGTCCAAAACTAAGTTTATGACAAATATGGTCACTAATAATCATTTAACTATTCAAAACAAAGTGGTAGACTGATAGAACTGATACGTATTTGTGTCACGAAATAAGAATCAGCAGGGATAACCAAACATGCGAAATCTAAAGACGAATTACTTTAGCGTGGCCAGCCTTTGGAAAACTGCGAGACACACTTAGGGCCAACATACCAAATAATTAAGATCGCAGATCCAAGATCTGCGAAGAAGGACGAAAATTACACATTGGAGACCAAGAGCAGACAAACGTAGTAGAGGGGCCACCTACAAGTTGGGCTGACGACATCAGGCATATCACGAAAAATGGCAACAAAGAGCACAAAATCACAAAGAATTGAGGAGTTTGAGGGAGGCCTATATACAGCAGTGGACGTGATAAATGAAGGCTGATGATGATATAACAAAATCAGAAATCAAAGAGGCCCTGAAGAAAATGAAAAATAATCGAACCCCAGGCAGAGATGGAATAATGTCACAAGCATTAAAAATTGGATATCTACTAAAAAAATTAAACTACTTTTCAATATCTGCCTTCACAAAGCCAATATTCCAACAGACTGAATCAACGCTACTATAATTTCATTACAAAAAGCAGAAGACAGAGCTAATTTAGAAAATTACAGACTTATTTGCCCCCTCAGCCATATATATATGTTGTTTACGTGAAACCTATATATAGTTAAAAGAATGAAAAAAAAAAAATTAAGAGACTTTTCAACCAAGAAAACAGGCAGGATTCCGAAAAAGTTACGGGACTAATGACCATCTACAAAGCATAAAAACCCTAATAGAGAAAGTAGCGGAATACAATAAACCTCTATAATGTGCTAATATTTGTCGATTTTTTTATGTTTATATTTCATAGATATAACTTTTTTTGTTGCTTCTCCCGTCAACTTGTCTACTAGTCATTACTTTCTCTGGAAGAAACTACTAGGTAGTCCTTTCCTATTCTGAAGAATGGTCAAGGAAAAACAAAATAGCTGCAGGTAACAATTCATCTTTTATATCACCAAAATACACCTACAGCAGTCTGAAGACAATGCAGATAAAGGTACATTACATATTATTATTACTAATATGTTTACTGTTGACCAAATTGTGCCTACAGTGGTAAATACTTTTAAAAATTAGAAGCTGGCTATACAGGTGACATAGATTCTCTTTGGGAAGTAGTTAAGCCAATGGGTTTTCAATGGAGAAAAAGAAAAACAAACAGCAAAATTGTTAATAATAGAAAAATATGATATTCATTCCTGAAGCGTGTTCAATCAAAATGCATAGAAATGAAAAAAGACTAATTGTATATATGGATGAAACTTATATTCATAACTCAAATAACTTACATTTTAATATAATTCAAATAATCAAAAAACAAACAAAAAATAGTAATAAAACTTATCTTTATTATAGTGTATTATATATACTACACAAAATAGTATTCAAAATAAACTCTTCCCATAGGGAAGTTATCAACTGACTAAATATCTTAGTCAAGAACGATTTTCATATAAAACCATTATATCCTTTCATATCCATTTAGTCAAACATATCGTCATAGGAGACCAAGTTTCTTTTATCTCTATGGTTGCCTTTCTGAGAATGACTAGAAGCTAAAAAAGGAAAACTGATGTACACAACTAAAATATAACAAAAGCCGTTATCTTACCAAGAGTAGCCCATGCAGCTGATGAAGTTGCATCATTTATGGGCTCAATTTGAGGTTGTCTTCTAGCTAAAGATACTTTTAGAGGAATTCCAGATACCATACTTCCATCCATCTACAAATCAAGAGTAGTATGTATGTGAGCAGGATAAAACAGATACAGAAAACCTTAAAAAATCAGAATAACTCAGATCATGGAAGACTGGAGTTCTTGAAGATTCATAAAGTCATTTATTGAAAAATATTCCATATGCAAAAACATTTTTTGGTTCTAATAATTTGTTGAATTTTGTAAAGAGATCCTGAAATATCTTTGAACAATCCTTTGGTCATTTAAATATTTGGATACCACCATACGTTTTGCATTGATACAGCTGGTACACCTTATCAAAAGCAGAAACAATATCAGTACTCAATACTGTTTATTCATGTTAAAAATATAAAATCTTACACATGTCAAATATATAGAAAGTCTCAATTACAATTAAAATTATGTTGTAAATATTCATGAATTGTATAAGAGAAATTTTTTATGAATATTTTTTTAATTCTATTTTAAAATTCCTTTTCAGGCAAGCTTCTGATATTCTCAGGCAAAACATTAAAACATTTTATTGTCCAATGCCTGGTTCATTTTTATACTTTTTCTAACGTTAATATGCTGGGATCATATTCTGCTTGTGCCTAGTACCTATTGCCATGCTGATCTTCGTGACTTCTATAAAAATTGATATTCCTTTTCATGAATCGAAGGTTTTCTAGAATGTACTGTGCCAGTACAGTAAGAATTCCCATTCTTTTATAAGCCTGATGGCAAGCCTCCATAAATCCCAAACCAGCAAGGAATGTCACTGACTTTCGCTGCCTACCAAATACTCTGTGAGTATCAGCTGCATGAGCCCAAACAAGGATTGAGTATGCAAGATGTGAGTGGAATATTTTTTTACTTAGTTACACTCTTTAGCAATAAATACACAAATAATGTTCTATAAGCTAATTTTCAAGCTGCTTTTGAGTCTACTATTGGCATTCTGTTCCATTAGAGATTGAAGTAAGGGGTTACTGTGTTATTCCAGTCCTTCATGCTATATTTAGTGATCACATCCTGTATGAACAGGATTCTTATGTCTTCATGAAATCTTAGGTTTGACACATACCAGGGTGCATCAGTTATCATGCACAGTATTTTCAATTGGCTTCTTTGAATTATGGTTGTATTTAACTTGCACATCCCTAGAGTTTGATTCTATAAGTATGTCCAGATGGGTTTTATGATAGCTTTATAGACAGGGATTTTATTTTCCAGGGTCAGTTTCAATTTGCTACTGACTAGCCAGTTTAGATCTTTCATTCTTAGGTCAATTTGTTTCTGCTTCTTAATATGTTCTTTCTAATTGAGATTTGAGTCAAGATGTATTCCTAGGTATTTGGTGCTAGAGGATTGAGGAAGTTGTATATTGTTAAGTAAAACTAGGGGACACTGGTCTCTTCTCAAGGTAAAGGTCACTTACACTGATTTTGTTTCATTCATTTTAATTCTCCACTTATTTGACCACATCTAGATTTCATTCAGTTTTACCTGTAGAATGTTAGATGCCATAGTTGGATTTTTGTTGACTGCAAGGGTAAAAGCATAATCTGCAAACATACCAATGATCTGCTGTGTGTAGCACATACAATATTGGTCCAAGAATGCTGCTCTGTGGGACACCAGATTTTATAGCAAAATTATTGGGATTACTTTCATTCATTCTTAGATAGGATTTTAACAGTTTCAGGTAGGTGTTGCGAAGGATTTTAAAAATTGGTGTGTCAAACCTTAATAAAGGCTTTACTAATGTCTAGTGATATATTACCTATAGTCTCAAGTGAGACACATTTTGAAAGGTTTCTCAAAATAAAGAGACTTTTATTTAGTTTTTTGTGGGCCCCACTGTAATTTTGGTTGCAAAAGAACTCATAAAAACCCAAACATGCCAAACCCATCATTCATATCACCCACAGTTCTTATTGTAAAGATTACTTGTTTAGTTTTGTTGTTGTTCACCAACCTATTTGCAGCAAATCATTGCTCAGTCCTGTGCCATGGTACCATAGAACCCACCAACACATCCTTAATATTATCAGCTGTGAAGGCCACCATAGTGTCATCTGTCATCTGCAATACTATATTTTGTGTATACTTAGCCTTATGCCTAGCTATATATGCTAGCCTTAATCTGTTTTAGCATTCCACCAAGCTCTCTACCTGTCTTTTACTATATTCTAGCTGATTCTTCAGTTATGTAGACATATTTTGCTAAACAGTCTCCTACAGAAGAGATATGACTCTTTACCACTGCAGTTTTTTTATTCATTAAATTTTCTTTGCTTACAAAATCCAATTACTTATAGTTGAAATCATCAGAAACATTTTTATTAAGTTACAGATTGTTTGTGTCATAAAAATGATATATCAAGTAAAATAATACCCAGAAATGCTAGTGAAAATTGAATCCAAAAAAATAAATATATAAGGCTTCATCCAGAATCTTTCTAAGCTCTACATAGCCTACCTCAACTATTATTAATCTAGTTTATATTCCTGTCTGTTTATATTCAGATCACATCTTTTACTATATTCTATCTGATTCTTCAGTTATGTAGACATATTTTGCTAAACAGTCTCCTACAGAAGAGATATGACTCTTTACCACTGCAGTTTTTTCATTAAATTTTCTTTGCTTACAAAATCCAATTACTTATTGTTGAAATCATCAGAAACATTTTTATTAAGTTACAGATTGTTTGTGTCATAAAAATGATATATCAAGTAAAATAATAACCAGAAATGCTAGTGAAAATTGAATCCCAAAAAATAAATATATAAGGCTTCATCCAGAATCTTTCTAAGCTCTACATAGCCTACCTCAACTATTATTAATCTAGTTTATATTCCTGTCTGTTTATATTCAGATCACTTCTTAGTTGGCACACGAATTCGAGCTAAAATCTCAAATGTGAAGGAGAGAAGTACCAAAACAACGCGTCTCAATATTGAACTCCTCAAAAATCCACAAACAGTAGAAAGGTTTCAAAACTATATCGAAACTAAACACATAATTCATGAGGAACTAACAATTAGTGAACAATGGGAAATGTGTAAAAATAATATTAAAGGTGCAGCAAATAATATTCTAGGGCCAAAAAGACCACCATCACGTAATGACTGGTTTGATACTGAGTGTGAGGACATTACAAGAAGAAAGAATGATGCATATAAACTGATGCAGCAAAGAAGAACCCAAGAAAAACTGCAAAAATATAAAGATCTCAGAAAAAAAGAGAAGTGCATTCATAGAAGAAAAAAGCGAACTCACAAAAATAGAATATTCAAAGAACTTGAGGTATTAAAGACTATGTAGCTCAGACCAAGGCTCAGACTATGTAAGGATAAGGAGGGGCATATACTAAATACAAAAGAAGAAGTACTGAAAAGGTGGGTGGAACACTTTAAAGAACTACTTACTATAGAAGTAGAAGATCCAGATCCAAATCAACCACCCTCAGGAGCAAGCAACAATTCACCATTAGAGCCTCCGTCAATTCAAGAAGTATGAGATGCAATAAAACACCTAAAAAACAATAAATCTCCAGGAAGTGATGGCATACCCGCGGAACTTATTAAATGTGGAGGTGCTACTGTGACTAATCAAATATATAAAATAATACTGAGAGCCTGGAATGAGGAACAAATCCCAGAAGAGTGGTGTATTGGAATCGTTTGCCTGCTACACAAAAATGATGACCAATTGGAATGTAGAAACTATAGAGGAATAACCCTCCTTAATACAGTCGCTAAGTCGCCTAAGTGCATATTCAGAGGAACTTCTCAGGGAATAGGAAAGTGGCTTTAGGCCTGGTCGATCAACAACAGATCAGATCATTGTGCTAAGGCAAATACTGGAAAAAACCAATGAATTCAATATCGATACATACCATCTTTTTGTAGACTTCAAATCTGCCTATGATAGTGTCCTAAGAAATAAATTGTATGAAGCCATGAATGAATTCCACATCCCCGATAAAGTGATAAAATTGGTTAAGGCTACTATGTGTAATGTGGTTTGCAAATTGCAAAGTCGAAATACAGGGCGAACAATCACAGGCGTTTGGAAAGCATGTTGGGCTGCGACAGGGAGACGCGCTGGCGTGTCTCCTTTATAAATCATCCAAAATTTTGGCATCTGCAGATGATGTGGACAACAGAACCCGCAGAACACACAAGCTAGAAGAAATGTATACCACCTTCTCATATGCCTCAAAATCTATGGGCCTGCAAGTAAATGAGCAGAAAACTAAGATGATAGCATCAACACCCAACAATAGAGTCAGGAACATCGGTCCCCAATTCACAGTTGATAACTCTACCTTTGAAGTGGTGGACAAATTCACATACTTAGGCTCGCTGATCACCAGAGAGAACACCATAACGGAAGAAATCAAGCGAAGGATAATAATAACAAACAGATGCTATTTTGGACTGAGTAGACATATGAGAAGTAGAAACTTAAGCCAAAAAACAAAAATAACCATATACAAAACCCTTATACAGCCAGTGTTGACATATGGATCTGAAACATGGACCATCTCCAAGGCAGACGAAGACCTTCTGCTTATATTTGAACAAAGGATCCTGAGAGGAATATTTGGTGGCATCTGTGAAAATGGTGTTTGGAGAAGGAGATATAACTATGAGGTATACCACAGATATAAACAAATATTTGGTGGTACAGACGTAGTATATCTTATAAGAATAGGAAGACTAAGATGGACAGGACATCTAGCAAGATCACAGCTGAACAATCCTCCTAGAAGAATCCTTATGTCACAACCCGTGGGAAGTAGAAAAGGGGGTAGGCCAAAACTCAGATGGAAGGATGGTGTAGATAAGGATGGTAGAAAGATAGGCGCAGCAAACTGGCAACGGTTGGCAATGGATAGGACTGCCTGGCGTAATAGACTTGGGAAGGTCGAGGCTCTTTCATAGTGCTGTAGCCCCATTGATGATGATGATGATATTCCTGTCTAATCGTGAACACTATAGAATACAGCAATTTTGCAAATGCACAACTTTTATCAAATTGACTCAACTTTTCTAGTATTTGCTTCACTGTCATATTCTTATTTTTTAAAGATTTAGTAAAACAAATGATTTAAGTATTTAGTAAAACAAATCTGCTAAGAATAAAATAAGAAAAAGGTTAGATAATATAAAGTCTTACCTCAGATATTGCTCTTTCTGCAGCATCCACTTTATCAAAAGTTATAAAACCTCGACTAGAAATATAAGAAATTTAATTAATCAAGCACTAGATAAATAACATCTTAAACATACTTCTTTTCAATTTCCATTGATATATTAATAATATTTCCCATAGTTGTAAAATGTTTCTTTAGAAATTCTTCAGTAATTTTGTAACCAGCTACATATATAGTATTACCCTGCCTGGGTTTATCTGTTTTTACTTGTTGTTGCTTTTCAGTGAGCCCTCTTTCTTCTCTATCCCTTGCATTTGCAAAAGTATCATATAGATTTTTGATTCTAGGTGGTGTATTTTGAGGATTATCTACAAAATTAACTGTTGTGATAGGGGAACTGTCAAAATATAATGGGAATAAATCCTAAGTTTTCATTAAGAGATAAAAAGATATTCTTTATTGAATTCTTTTATAAATTGATTTACCGAGAGGAAGTATTTCCATAAGATTATAGGTTATTGTTATAAGATACTTATATTAAATAAATCACAAAAGAAAGTGAAAATGATTATGAAAATGGTTACCTGGCCCATCCTCCATTTGTACAGCTGAAAATGGTTGATACCCACTCACAGTTTTATCTGAAATCAGTTTACGTTCGAGACCTCTTGGACGCTTAAAACCTTGCTCAGGTTGTTTCTGTTGTTTGGAAATAGCTGGTATAACACCTGATTTTATTAACTTCTTTGCTACCTCTCTGGCATCTCTGGCTTCAGCAGGTCTTTTAGGTATTATGGGTTTTTCAGGCTCTGGCTTCGGTGCCTTCAGAGCTTGTATGGCTTTTTTCTAAAAAAAGCAGTAGAAAGAAACAATTTAGTAACATTAGTTTTAATAAAATATATCAATTATACTTACCTTTTTCTTTAATTTTTGGTATTTTGCCTGTAGCATTAATTCCTCCTCTGTAAAGTTTGCAGGAAAGTGTATGTATACCATTCTTGTAATATTTTATTTTATTTATAGTACTTCTTACTCCACAATCACAAATGATTTTTAAAAATATTTACAAAATATACGTCAAATGTCACTCGTCGTTGTGCATTGGTGTCAGCGTGTCAGCCGTCAGACCTCAGACGTCAGAAGACTGTCAGCCGCAATGGTCTGTTTATTTCATTAATTTGAAATCAACATAAAAAACTCTTTCTTTGTCTATCGTTTACGCATTTAATAAAGCTGGGATTTAACCTTAATCATCTCTTATTTAAATTACCTAATCTGAACTTATCTTTGTATTGATAAAATAAAAATGAATTCGTTGGATCTTTCAACACGAACCACAGAAAGAGATAGATAAACAATCACATTAATAAAGTTTCTTACTTACATAGCCTTATCAATATATTAATATTTAATTGAATATCTCTTATATCTTCATATCAATTTTTTTAATGTGTAGTTAGTTGAAATTGTAAATTTCCTAGTATTGTCTTACTTTTCGAAAAAATAATAATAAGCCTAGACCTAGACCACAGAATAGTTTAATATTCTGTGCCTAGACTAATAAGTTACTTATTTTATTGTTGGTAAACAGTAATTAAAAAATAAAACTAAGCTAGATCCTAAGCCGCGTCTAGGTTGTTTTAATTCTTAAGTTTCTCATTATATAAGAAGGTATGTATAAATGTGTATAGAAAAATAAAACAAATAATTGGTAGGATTATATTACTCCCAGTACCACCGGAGTAATTACCTCGAACACAGTTTGTTCTTTTAAACGTCAAAGTCAATTTTATTTTGTTTTTGTTCACTTTATTTGGTTTAATTAAATCATTATGATTTCGTTTTTTAGTTACAAACATCACACTACAACAATTTAAGTATTTACATTACTTTAAAACCAAGCACTTCTAAATATATTAGTGAAATTTATTTATACAATGTCACTTTAACAATTATATTAGGTTCTAAATAATTTATTTTCAAAATGTGCGACAGTTCGACCAGTGCTAATCCAATTTCTTCCGAATATAATGTAACACCTAGTAGACGAGAACGAGAAAATAAATTTAGTGAAAAGACTGAAGATGCGGCTACAACAGATTCTGAAGAATATTTATCTGAACCTCTGAGGTAAGTTTTTTTTATTAACCTTACATAATTAATAGAAGTGTTTTTATATGGATAGGTATCAATAGCCAAAAGCTCTTATTGTTAGATCAAAGCATTTGTTATTTAATAAGTAATATCAGAAGTTTCTAGATACATATCTACACCATCACTCAGATGTATTTTAATTTGAACAGAATTAAGCAGAAATGAAAATTTGAGTTATATATATTGCCATAAAATACATAATAAATTAAATTGGCATTAAATGAGACCCATCAGTTTTACTATTGACCATACCTAGTTCATGTCTTTACATGATTCTTTCATAGCCTATAAAGATTTCTGAAATAAAAACATGATATACCTATAGGCAATAAACTAGACAAGACAAGAAAATAACTTTAACCAGTTGAAACTGGTATAATTTTTGAAAATAAACATACATATCCTTAGAGGTTACAGTTGTCACTGCAATATGAACTACATGCATGCAGCAAGTTGGTTACACACTTCTAAAGAAAAAAAACTAGATCAGTTACAATTTGAATTCATAAACAGAAGATAAAGAAACTAGTTTATTTTAGAACTTTCAAAAACAAACAAGCTAAGTTCCTTCTTGCAGTGGTTTTTATAGAAAGGATGGCTACCATTGGTCTCTCAAATTATTTTTCTGTGGTGTTTTCTTTTGTATTTGGGAGCTTGCATTATACAGCCTAGATAGTTATTTTACAGTAATGTTTTTATATTCTCCAGTACATTCATTTCTTAATTGTTTCTAAGCCAATCATTGGCTAGTTTTGGTACTTGTGTTCTTTATTCCAGGGTTTGCATCTGTTCATCATCACAAGTGGCTGGACAATCCATTGTGGATCTTGGCCTGCTCACAAAGAAGTCGCCATGTCAATTCTTGGCAACTTCCCTCCATCTTCTGACACTTATAATCTATAGGTCTACTTCTATATCATCAATTCATCTCCTTCATGGTTTTCATCTGCTTCTTGTGTCCTCTGATCTTGAAAATTTTAATGTCTTTGTGTATTCGTGATCTGACATCCTAGCAATGTATCCAGCCCATCTAAATCTCTGCACTTCAATAAATTTCACAATATTTGGATCTGTGCATAACTGATATAGTTCAAAGTTTGCATATGTTCCAGTATTAAAATTCTATCTTTTCATAGAATATTTTTTTCATCCTTCGATCTTGGTAATAGATATTTAACTGGTGTAAAATGGAACAGATGTTAGTTTTTGCTGTGTAATATGTTCAAAATAGAAATCTTATTTATTCTTGTTGCTGCAGATAATTGTCTTGAACTTATTTCTTGCTAGTTTTCAATGAGAACTAATATTTTGTCTTCCTCGTCAGGCAGTATAGTTTTCAGGTGACCTATATAATATGTTTGGAAACCTTCGTAGATATTCGTTTTGTGCATCAAAATTTTGTTGGTAATAAATATATATCATTTCATTTTTCATTTTTCATTAAGTTTGAACAAAATTATGTCTTGACATTTTATAATTTCTTCAATTAACTGTTGATATTAGTGACAAGACTATCATAATCATATTATGATTTCTTACACTGTTAAACTCTGAACTCCAATTTTGTACTCTTGTGCATTAAAAGATATCTAGATTGATCACAAACTACCCATGAACACTGAAGAGATTACTTAAAAATTTAACACATTTTGGTAGTTTTCAACATAGAGGAACCTATTGTTGATAATAATGATTATACAATTAATGTTTTTGGTTACTATCCTGATTTTTCCGAAGTGTTATTCCATTGTTCAGCAAACTTTAAAAAATCATTTCTATTTTTACACCACAGCTTAAAGTTTAAAGGAAACATACTATAATAAAAGAAGGGAATTTGTAAATGAATACAATATTAAGAAGATAATGAATTTTTGAAGAATATTGTATGGTTGACAAATCAAAATTTACAAAAGAAACAGAATATTTAATAGGCACAATTCACATTACTGCGAAATAATTCAACATACAAAGGTATGTGTTTTTTAGGAGCGATGGGAGTTTAATGTAGGTTTTGCAATCAAAGACAACTAGGTTCTAGCCCTGCACTTTTATGATGGTAATTTAAACTACTTTTGTTAGAGAAAACATGTCTCAATATATGTAAAGTATATGCAATCATCATTGTTTAATTCTAAACAATATATTTCTATCACTTTGTAAAAGTGTCAATAATCAGAAATAAGTAATGGCAATTGTGACATTTCACACACAGCCTGCTAAAATAAAACAATAAATATCTTACCATTAACATTAAACTGCAATTATCTCCAAAAGTATTTACTTTAGGTATAGGGAACCCTACTACTAGTTGAGTTCTTTTTTCATTAAAAAATACAAGGTATTTTATTTAAAATGATTTACTTACTCCAGTTTGGAGTTTAAAAGAAATGACCTATCATTTGTACCCAGTATTTAGAAATTCGATGCTGATTGAAATTCCTGAAAGAGTGTTACCTACTCTTTGTGTGCAAAAGTTTTCAAGACATTGCTGTTCTAAACGGATGAGATATTTATTACTTTAGAACAATGTGTCACTATCTGTCAAAATTTTTGATAATAGATAAATAACTTAAAAAAATATGAAGTTTTGATCGACAATACCTTATACAAATTCTATCTAGAATCTACCAATGCTATAATATACAGGTTGTTCCATTTCAAATAACAAAGATGCTGTTCGCTTCCGGTATAATTGGAAGTGCCATGTCTGTCAAAATATTTTCTTTGTTTGTCATAACTTGTAATCCCCATATACCCATTTTCAGAAATATCATTTAAGTTATTTCTGATATATAGATAGTGTAAGATTGTCGTGAAACACCCTGTATATATATATATTATATATATATATATATATAATATATATATATATATATATATATATATATATATATATATATATATATATATATCTTATTTTAATCCTTTTGTTTTGATTAGTCTTGTTTCATTTGATTGCAATTTGATTGGTTTAATCAGGTGTTTTAGGTATCATCCTTTTTGATAAGTTTAGAACAGTTTGTATCTATCGACAGGTCGAAGGCCTTTTCTTCTTCTTCTTCAAGTGCCGTCTCCATCAATGGAGGTTAGCGGTTATGGTGGCAAACGTTTGTCTATCTTCAGCTGTTCTTAAGAGTTCCTCAAATCCAAGTCCTGTCCAGTTTCTGATATTACGTAACCAGGACAATTTTTTTCTTCCAATTCCTCGCTTTCCTTCTATTTTGCCTTTTATTATCAACTGAGGGATGTAGTATTTCTCGTTGCGCAACAAATGCCCTAAATAACTGGTTTTTCTTCTTTTGACTGTTCTCAATAGTTCTTTTTCTAAATTGAGTCTAGCTAGTACTTCTTCATTTGTTTTTCGTGCTGTCCAAGGAATTTTTAAAATTCTACGGTACACCCACATTTCAAATGCCTCGATTCTATTCAGGCTCTTTATTTTTAAAGTCCATGTTTCGACTCCGTAGAGAAGAACAGACCAGATAAAACATTTTACAAGTTTTAATCTCAATTTAATATTTATATGTGTATCGCAGAATAGAACGCGCATCTTAAAGAAACTATCCCTAGCTTGAGCAATTCTTGCTTTAATTTCTTGTTCTGGGTCCAGCTTGCAATTAATCCAACAGCCAAGGTATTTGTATTGGTTTACCTGTTCTAAAATATTCCCATATATTTTTATAGGTAAGGGGATATTCTGTTTTCTTTGGATCACCATTACTTTTGTTTTTTTTTTCGTTGATCTTCATTCCAAACTCTCGACAAGCATCCTTAAGGTGGTCTATAACCCTCTGTAAGTTTGTGTCTGTATCAGCCAGTAGGACAGTGTCATCTGCATATCTTATTCTAGATATTGGTTCTCCATTAATTTTTATTCCTGTGGAAAGGTTTTCCAAGGCTTGCTTGAATAGTAGTTCCGAGTAAAGATTGAACAGCATAGGGGACAGTACGCATCCTTGCCTTACTCCTTTATTTATACTAATATTTCTAGATGTATGATCGTCGATCCTAATCTTGGCACTCTGCCTCCAATATAAGTTCTTAATTAATCGGAGATCTTTGCTATCCAAGTTGATGCTCTGCAAGGAATTTAACATTTTATTATGGTTTACGCGATCAAATGCCTTTTCAAAGTCTACAAAACATAGAAAGACATCCTTTTGTTGGTCGTAACACTTCTGCAGCAGTACTTGTAATGAAAACAAGGCCTCTCTGGTCCCCATTCCGGCTCTGAATCCAAATTGATCGTATCCAACTTCTTTTTCACACCTTTTGTATACCCTATTGTGAAGTATTTTTAATAGAATTTTAAGCATTTGGCTCAAATCTAAAATCTGCGCATCGCCTGGAGTTAGCTTGTTTTGGAATGGGAATAAAAATAGATTCTAACCATTCCTCTGGTATTTCCCCAGTATCGTAGATTGTATTAAACAAAATTACTAACAAATCAATGTTATTACTTTCGATCAATTTAAGTATTTCAGGATAAACTTCATCAGGTCCAGGCTTTTATTGGTCTTTAATTGTTTAATGGCATATTCCACTTCGACTTTTAGAATTGGTGGGCTTTCAGTAACATTATTTATTGTAATGTCTATTCTTTCATCTCGGAACAGCTGTTGTATAAATTTTTCCCATTCTTCTATTTTATCTTTGGTGTTATGAATTAACTCTCCGTTGTTATTTACCAGTGGGCAATGTTGTTTTTTGCGGATGAATGAAAATTCTTTCACCTTCTTGTACATATTAAAGTAATCATGTCTATGTTTTTTCTAAGGCCTTTTCACAATATATAAATGCAATATGAATTTCTAGGTTGAATTGACTTTTTTTTTTCGATAATTTGTTTTATAATGAAAATTACGGTACTTAGTAGACCTGCTTTTTTGAAAACTATGTTGTTCTTCCTCCCGCCTTTTCGAAAGGACTAAATAATTCTATAACTATACTCTCACTATTCTACTAATGTATTGTACTATTATTCAACTCTTAACTCTAAAAACTATGAATTGAAAGTCTCTGTCTTGAAAACATAATTGACCTGTCTTCTTGACATTTCTTATTAGTTAAAGGAATTATAAGAAGATATTAATAGTAAGAGGTTCCCCTGTATGTATATGTTCTTGAAAAGGACTAATATCACATGATCAAATATGTCTACATGTTTTTCAGGTATAAGAACTTCCAATACTCAGCACAGTCCAGTATCTCTAATATAACTTTATCAGTTCAAAATTCAAGAATTGAAGAAGAAAATGGTAACTGCTTTCCACAAATTCCCAATGGACTTATATCGTTTAATAATATACAGATTCCAATTGTAGGATATGAGATTATGGAAGAACGTGCTAGATTTACAGTAAGTGTAGCTTAATAGCAGTATTTATTTTTTGTTGAAATCTTTTTATTTTAAACCATTTTCTCTCTTGTACTTTCCACTTTCCACTCATGTTTCGTGCTTAATGATGCAAAAAAACGCTTCTACCCAGCAATTTTTATTTTTAGATGGACATCTTTTGTAAATATAATCATTCTCAAATTTCAACCCCCAAATTGTGGGTGGCTGTCACCTCTAAAACTTAAATCAAAAGGGATAATATGTGATTTATAATCTTAAAAATATTTGTTATTTCAATGGAACCTCAAAAAGGCACTTTGTTACACTTCACACTACTATATTCACTATTTTGACATCAATATATAAGAATGACCGGTAGTATTTATGATAAAGTTGACAATTAAAGTTACTATTATGAAAATTTTACCGGAAACGTTTAATACAATGATAGCAATAAATTTTTTAAAATATTTTTGTGAAAAAATAGTATACAATAGAATTCTTAACTATTTTTACATCTTAGTGCATAAAAATCTTTTGTCGAAATTTTTTTTCACAGTAGTTTTCCATATTTCTCATTGGATGTAGTTACAAGTTAATGTTTTTGCAAAATATATTGTTTATTGTGGATCCTTGCATCAGTGGTTACAAAATAAGCTCATGATAAATTGACCATGTGTATATATAAGAATTAGTTTATGTTATCATTTATGTATTTAAGATAACGGCCGATTTATTTTATATTTTTGTTATAGTTAATTATAGAAATTTATAAAATACACCTAATTAATTCATAATATCGTTTATCTAACACTGTATAAACAAATCTTGACAATACTGTTTTCATAAAATAGTTTACTGACAAAACATGACTGATGCATTGAAAAATTCTTAACCTACTGCAGAAGCAGACAATATTTGCAACTTTAAAGTATTTGATTACATAAAATATTCTCCTCTAAATTGGACAAAGAACCTGCAACGCCTCTAGACATTTAAACAAATGTTTATCTTGCTCTATAAACCAAGCCTCCACAGCTTCTATCACTTCTTCCTAAGAAGTTAATTTACAACCTCGTGACTGCATTTAATTGGATGCAGTGGCATTGTCATGCACGAAACTTTGCATGAAAATCTCCTTATGCACGTAAATACCTTTGGTAGTTTCTGGCTTTTTCTGTCCTTTTTTAAATTTTTAAATAAATTTTTTCTCATAGACTTGTCGATAACGTCGTGTAGTAATTCCCAGTTATTGTTCTACATTTTGGCAAAAAATTGATCATTAATATTTATTGGGAATCCCAAAAATTTTTTTGCATGAAAATCTCATGCACGCAGATACCTTTGGTAGTTTCTGACCTTTTCTGTCCTTTTTAAAATTTTGAATAATTTTTTTTTCATAGACTTATCGACAACGTCGTGTACTAATTCCCAGTTATTGTTCTACATTTTTCCAAAAAATCGATCATTAATATTTATTGGGAATCCCAAAAACTAAAGCAAGAATTGTTCGAGCAGATTTTTGAACACGACAGTTCTTAGGACTTGATCTTCATCATCTTTCTGGCTTTACAACCCTGGAGTCCTAGCCTCCTCAAGAATTTTTCTCCAGTCGTCCCTTCCATCGCCTTTCCCCGCCAAGCACGTATTCCCATATTTCTCATGTCTTCATCGATGTTACCAAGGAAACTTGTTCTGGGCCTTCCTCTTCTTCTCTAACCAATGTATCTATCAAGGAGCGTTTTTCTAGCTGGATCATTGTGTTCCATCCGCATTATGTGCAGTATCCACATCAGACATCATCTTAATATGTTTTACGATATCAGGATCCTGGTATATTCTCTAAAGTTCGAAGTTGTATAGTCTTCTCCACACTCCATTTTCATTCACTGCTCCATAGATTCGCCTTAGTACTTTTCTTTCGAAACATCGTAACATATTTTCATTCTTTTTTGTTAGAGTACTTGATTCGGTAAAAAGAAATTTGTCAAAGATTCATTAACAGATCGAGCAATTGTTGTATAGTTGGTTTTTTTAAACAGTTTATGCTGATTAAATACGACTTGTTGGAGTCATCACCTGAACTGTTTAAAACTCCAATAATTAAATTCGCAATTTGTCGACCCTTGGCGTCAGTAGTCTCGTCGACAGATATCCACAGATATTCATCTCTTACCCGGCTTTTAATACCTTCAATAACGTCTTTTTAAGATACCCTCACATATTTCTTGCGAAGAGTTGAAGAACTTGGTACCAGTACTGACTTCAACTTTAAAATACGTTTTCAAAAAATTTTGACACACCTTGCTATCCAATTTATACAGTGGGATATTGCAACTTACAAAAAAATTGCATACGCAAACATTTCTTGCCCCGTCGATGTGTGACGATTTTTAATAATGTTCTTCTGCAGAAGCTGCTGGCGTGGTTTCTTGAAGTCCTTAGATAGTTTATACTGGTGAAGAGCCGTTTTCTGGTGTTGGAAAATTTGGAATTTTTTTTCACATGGAATCTGTAACAAAACGGTTTAGTAAATAGGAGTCTATTGCAATAATATATGGACTACCGCCAATAGTTAAACTGTTACATGTTTAGTATAGGTATACCGATTTTCTTGAAAAAATGAGACTTAAGTTAAATTTTTGAATCGTTAAAATATAAGTGGACTCACCTTTTTATCACAAATAGTACAGAAAACACTTTCATTGTCTATAATCTTCATTTCACTGTTACCACCAACCCAACTCCGCAATAGACTTGATTTTTGTTTCGCTACTTACGGCATATTTTCAAAAAAGAAATTATTTTTATTTTATAAGCACAATATTCACAATCACAAGTTACTTGCCAGCTGGTAAAAAGATTTTAAAAACGAATTTACTGTATAATACCTAGCTGCATGTTGACCCTATTCTTCTAATAAATAATTCCCAGATGGGTTTTCCCAAACAATAAAACTTGTATTATCCGTTCACAAATTGTTGATAGCCTTATATATATAAATATATACCACCTTCTGGTAAAGGCAGTAGATTAATAATTTCTCACATTGGCAGTGAAAAAGGATTTGTTAAGCATCGTTTGTTGGAATTTCAGTCCAAAAGTACAAAAGACCATCACGAGGAGATGACAGCTGATATTTTCGAAGAGTATTTTGAGCAAATGATTGAACACATACCACCAAATTCAATTATAGTATTAAATAATGCATCTTATCATTCACGACTAGTAGAAAGACTTCCAACGACTGCGTGGAAGAAACAGGATATTCTTGACTGGCTGCGGAATAAGTATCTGTCTTACGAAGATGGAATGGTAGAAGCAGAACTTATAAACATTGCCTGCCAACACAAATCCAAGTTCAAGAAATACGTAGTTGACAAAATGGCGGAAAGGCGAAAACCACACAGTCCTTAGACTTCCACCCTACCACTGCAAAATAAATCCAATTGAACTCATTTGGGCACAAATGAAAAGTTATATGGCTAGAAAAAATACGTCATATAAAATACAAGCTGTAAGTGAATTGTTATACGAGTTTTTACAACATGTAGAATGTACAGACATGTAATAGAAGAAGAACAACAAATGTGGGATTTTGATAACATAATTGATGCGACCGTAGAGACACAACCGCTAATTATTAACCCTCAAGACGACTCGGATTCCGAAGTTGATCCTATTTATTTTGAATTTGAATAGTTTTCTAATCGTAATTATATAAGGTAAGTAATAGTAGTTGTAATCGTAAGGTATTAAAGGGGAAAGGCGCAAAATGTCGCCTGTCAAAATGTTCAATGTGTTTTAAATGTATCCATTTTTTTTTCAAATCCTGAGAAAACTAAAATGCATTTTTGAAAAATTTAAAGGCAGAATGAAATATTTATTAGAATAAATAAAAAGTTTCTTTTGCAGGCAATATTTTAAATTAAAAATTATACTATATTCTCTCTTTTATTTTCACCCCTGTTACATAACATATTGAAATAAACATTGTAGAAGTTTTCAGAGACTTTCTGCCCTCAGTAATAATGTAATCTTTGATTCTGCGTTTAAATTTTTCAAAAATATTTATTAGTTTTCTCCGCATTCGAAAATAATCAGTTCAAACACATTGAAAATTTTGCGACATTTGGCGCCTTTCCCCTTAATTAAATAAATGTATCTTTTACAAATGGCAAGAAAGGAATAAAATAAAGAAGTTTTATTAAAACAAATATACAATTTAAAAAATATATTTATTTAGTTCAAATAAATGTTTCAATCATAATACTCTACGACACTGGTCGGCCAAAATACCTTCGTAATCGGATTATAAGGTTGACCTTTGTATTGTATTCTTGCAGATACAAGGTGGGTTATTCGAAAACATCTTAAACCGTCAGTTTCAGGTTGGTTTTTACTATTATATCGTATTACCTATCCTCTCTGTATTTCAGTTCTCTAATTAGGATTAAACTTGTAGTGAGCTATCAACAAATTGTGAACCGAGTATAGATTTAGTAGATATTTGTAATAAAATTATTTCGTAGTTACCTTACCTAGTACCTGCTATGAATAACTCCAAGAAACTATTATCTAAATATGTATAGAAAACCATTTTATTTATGTTATATTTTCAAATGTGTGGTAATATGCTCTTAATCAAGTAAATGTGAATAAATTATCTAAACCCTCATCCACTCTGTACAGCTTTAGCTCGTACAAGTAGCTGAGTGGTACCTAAGTTTAGTAGGAACAGTATTCTTTAGTATCTTAAAACCATTGGACGTGGTCGTTTGACTTACAATTTTTTCTGTTAAACTCTCTTGGATCAGGTCTATATTAAAGTTACCAACTATCCAGATTGATATTCTTTTGTTCATAAACATGTTTAATGCTATATGCACTACTCCCAAAAGAACATTGTTATGGAAATCCTGAGGCCCCTATCCTCCACTTGCTATGAAATTCCTATCAATATGTAAGAGCAGTATCGATCTATATATCTCACAATATTGAAAACAGTTCTATATAAATAT